TGGTGTCCCCGGCCGGTTTGGGGGGTGCGTTGCCCGGAGACGGAAAGTTTGGGAGCCAGAGCAGGCTCAGCAGCGGCCCCGGGAAGGGGGTCCAGGGGGTGGTGACCCTGGGGATGGGGAAGGAGCAGGAGCTGCTGGAGGCGGCCCGCACCGGGCACCTCCCGGCGGTGGAGAAGCTGCTGTCCGGGAAGCGGCTCTCCTCAGGCTTCGGGGGCGGCGGCGGCGGTGGCGGCTCCGGGGGCGGCAGCGGCGGCGGTGGCGGCCTGGGCTCCTCGAGCCATCCCCTCTCCAGTCTGCTCAGGTGGGTAACGCGCCGGGGCCGGGAAGCCACCACGAGATCCCCTCTCCACCGCCTGCCCCTTGGGTCCCTAGAGAGCTCGAGGGTCCTGAGACCCGGGTGGGGTGGCTTTTCGGGGTGCCCCGGGGCGAAGGCAGGCGGCCCACGGGGCAAGGGTCGCCGGTGCGGGTCCGAGCGGCGCCGGGCTCTTCTCGTCTCGCGTCCTGACTCGGCTGCGAAGAATGGTGGGAGTGCCCAGGTGGCTGCCTCCGCCGCATGGCACAGTCCGGCTTCACCCTCGCCCGCTATAGGGTGCCAGCTGTCGTGTCTAACAAGCCACTTTAGAGCAATATATGTATATTTTAAATCTCCCTCACCTCCTGCAGAAACACCCACGTCTTGCAGAATCTCGCGGCTCCCCTGGAGGAAATTATCTTGATTCCCTTCTTTTGGGAACTTGGAACCTTCCACTGGGCTCTCTGCAGGATCTGGCTTTTGTTGTTTATATTAAAATTGTCTCTGGATTTATAACGTCCAAATTGTTCCTTGAGACCCTCTTGTGCTTGAAGATCAAATTCTAGTTCCTTGTAGTGAACCTCATTGGGTTGCTCTGTTAAGTGGCATATGCAGGACTCTTCAGGGGGTTTATTCATCAAGAAATAAAGCTTTAGAAAGACTTGGTTAGGAAACTAACCAAGGATGGTTTAAACTTTTCCAGGGTCTGTTGTTAAAATAAACACTTGAATCTGAGCTGTAAGGATTGAGAGAAAAAGGTCACTTTTGTGTGCCTTGGAGGGGGAATTGTCAGTGAGTAAAATGTGTTGGTTCAGCAACACTTTTCATAGCCTGTTTTCTTTTCCTTCCTTGTTCTTTTGAGGTTTTTAAGAAGTGGAAGTTCATTTAGAAATGGCTTGGTTTGCTTTTGTTCCCCATTACTTTGTGTAATGTCAATTTGGGTGAGCTTGGTTGAAGGAACCCTCAGGCTCTAATAAATTGTTAGGTATTAAGCATTGAGTAGGAACCAAGCTCTATACAGGAAGATTTTTTAAAAGCAGTATAAGAGAAGAACTCTCCTTAGGAGTTCCTTGGGGGAAGCAAACACCAGTACTGTATGCCGCAGTTTCTGCAGCCCTTAAGACAATGCTGTCACACAGTAGGTACTCAGGATTTGTTGACTAAATAACAGTCAGAGAATGATAAATTTCTAAATAAACTGATGATGGTACTCACCTAATTGATAGTTCAGAGAAATGAGACATCACTTTAGGATGAGATGGAGATCAGGGCTCCCAGGAAGGGAGGAACCTCAGCTGGTTTTGAAGGAAGTGAGGATTTGGGTAGGTGAAGCAGAGTGAGTGTTCCAGATGGGCACACCATGATCATAGGCACGGAAGTGGGGAAAGAGCCTTATTTGGTGCGAGTGGGACACTAGAACTCCCTGCCTGGAGCCTTGAGTGGTTGGGCGCGATAAGGGGAAATTATAATGGATGGATAAACTTCCATTTTTCAGAGGCTTGGTCTTTCTCATGTTTATATTTCCAGTCCCTAGATCAGTGCCTGACAACTCACAGGTGTTGAATAAATGTACTTTGAATGCATGAATTGGGTTTTGAATCTTACCCAGATTACTTTGACATTTCTGCTCTTCTGATGTCTGAGAGATGAGAGAAAGAGTATACAAGTTTTGAGGTGCCTGTCTCTAATGAGTTGAATGATGTAGCATTTGGTGGTCTGCCAGAAGAACTACCTTAACACCCAGTATATCCTGCTGAAGTGAGAGACTTTCACACACCTCCTGCCTTCAAGTACAGGCCAAGTTACTCTTAGTGCTCTCACTCAGAGACTTGAACTTTTGCTGGGGATTTAGCTGCCATGTAGTTAAGCAAGACCAGGAAATCTTTGTTGAGCACAGTGTTTTTACTTTGGGTCTCATGTTAATATGTCCAGTGTGTCGTGATGGTGGTGTCTCCATTCCCTTGTGTAAGAGAGTTAACTCCTCCTGACTTGCTTCCGTGTCTGTTGTAGAGATGGTAGATGGCCTGAGACCTGCCCCAGCCTCTCATCCCTGTGACTCCTAGGGCCAGGGAGGATCTGCAGGCACTCGTTACAATAGGTGTGTCATTAATTAGAGGTGACTGTGGTTCAACCTAGTGAAAGATTTCTGAGCAAATGAGACCATGATTTAAATAATCCCTAGGTCAGCACGTCCTGCCATTTTAGGTTTGGAAATAATAGAGGGTTAGGTCCATTATGCGTACACTCCCCACCTCAGGGACCCTGGGTTATTTAACAAGAGCTGTGGAATCACAGTTTCAGAATTGGCCTTTGCGTTTGCTGCCATCTTCTACCCCCACTAGGACTGCCAACTGCTGCCTACGTTTGTCCAGCTGTTTGAGTGACCAAGGAAAGCTGGCAGGAATAGGAGCTTACAGCTGCAGTGGATATAAATGTTCCCCACCACATGTGTGTTTGTCTATTCATCTATTTATTCATCTGTTCATCTATTTATGATTCCCCTCACCCCGCCACTGCCCATTCCTCAAAAGCTTTGTGCTTATCCTTCAGCTACAGAATGCTCCTTTTTTCACCCTATCCCTTTTCTCTTACTCTGCTTGGGCTTAGGTCCTAACTTAACGCCCTCCCTAATGACCCTAATACACAGATCTCTCAAGCGCCTACTTCTTTAGAACCCTTCATCTGTGGTTTATAGAAGCTTGTCGACTTATACTTTGCCTGGATTTCACAGTTTACTGCTTTGGCCTGTCAGTATAATGTTGACGTATAGTAACCCTCACCAATTGAGAGCATACCTGAGAGTCAGAAAGTCAGCAAAGAATACTTCCAGATAAATAAAAAAGTTGTTACAAACTTTATGTCCTCTGACCTTTCCTCAGTTACTGTACATGCAGAGGCAGTATAGTATTATGCTTAAGGCCTCTTGTCCTGGAGTCATACCACCTGGATTCAAGTCCACTGACTCATTGCCTGACTTCATACAAATTGCTCAACTACTCTGAACCTCAGTTTCTGCATCTGTTAAATGGGGATAATATTATGCATCTTACAGGTATTGTCTTAGATAATGTGTGCAAGAAACTTAACCACAATTTCTGGCACATTGTGAGTGCTCCCTGTTAGCGCTCCTCAGTTTAGGTCAGCATGTCCAATTTTGCCATCCTGCACCTGCTATGTGCAAAGTACCATGCCAGACACCTTTTCAATGGTGTTCTTTCACACGTGAGTATCTGTTTTCCAAGCCATGGCAGATCAGAAACACTAAGTGAGGGAGAGGACTTGCTCAGGCAGGCATGTTAATGCCACTCACTTACCAGATGTTTACCCATCACCTCCTTTGTACCAGGCCTATTGCTAGATGCACTGCAAAGTTTATCTTAGACCTGGCACATAGTAGGTACTCTATCAAAATTAGTCTCTCTTCCAGTACATGGCCTGTTCCCTTATAGCGTTTATAGTCGTATGATGTCTGTGTGATTGACAAAATTTGAGACAGAAAAAGCAATTAAAACCTAGCATTTTCCCACCCCCTGGTACTTCGAGACTATTAACATAGATATATGTACCCCTCTATACCTGGTTAGGCCCCAGGCATCATTTTACTAGAGCTCAGTGCTATAATTTCTGTTTATTATGACTCTTAGCCATAAATAAAGATTAAATTATGTTCACTAGCTTGTTAATGAAAGTAGGAAAAACATATTTGAGTTTTCTAACCAAAACGATTCAAATATAATTTTTGTTACTTGAAAGGACAAGCAATACGTTACCTAAAAAGCATAGCTATATAAAATGTCAAGTCCTACAAAGGTTCTGGATAGCGTGGACTTGACTTTATATAATACTTTATTATTTTCTAATTGTTGAACAGGTGCATGCCTTCAGTCTGTGGCTTAGAGCGCTGTATTAAGCTTCTTTTTAACTCTTGGTATTTTTGAGCCATGGACCCATAGCAGGCACTCAAATTCTCATGTGATAGAGAGTTTGATATGTTTATGGTTATAGTGAAACTACTGAGTTCCAGGAAAGCAACTACTGTATGAGAAAACAGTAAGATTTGGGTTAAACGTGAATTCTGTTAACTAAAGGGCTAAAAGATCTGAGAAAAGGAAATGTTGAAAGAAAACATCATATATTACTTAAAACTGTAAATTGAATTATGAACCCGATGTATGTGAGTGTGAATATATGGGAATGATGTGAAGTGAAGTGCACGCCTGAGAGTTCAGAAGCACAGAGAAACTAAACCAAAGGCCATGACTGAGGAGTAGATTGTGTCATGGTTTAGGAAAATTGTGTACTTAATTTGTCAAACATGAGAAGAGCGAATGAGAAAAGAAGCCAAGGAAGCTTGCTGGAAAAGTCTGAACATTTATAGACATCTATGTACATTGACACGTTTCAATGTAGCAATAAATGTGACTGTAAACTAGCTTTTACTCTACCATTTGGGGTGAGGGGTAGGAAGACTATCCAAAAACAACCATGAGTTTCCCAAAGACCTGAAAAGTTTTTGAAATGAGGAATGAAGCAATGAAACATTTGGAAAAATGGACCCCATTTTGTGGACAATTACAGTTTCTCTCAAATGTCAGAAGATATGACAGGTTATTCATTGTTTTTAAGAAAGATCCCTAATATTTATTTAAGGAATTCAGAATTAAAATAAAAAAAGTGGTTAGCATAACCATTCTATTGAAATGGTCCTTTACTTGCCCCCAGAATGAATCTGTAGCTTGGAAATTTTAATGACATGATAGCTTTTTCTCATGCCGACCCTTTTCCTTTGCCAGGTTTCTTTTGAGTGTGACTATTTTAAACAAAATGATTTTAACATCCTAAGGGACAGGGCAACACGGACCCTGTAAGGATTGTCGAATGGGAAGTGCTGGGAGCAGGATCTCACGAGAATGCAAAAACAAAAACAATAAAGCAAAACACAGCTATCCATTAGGATAGCAGTTTTCTGGATCTCCCACTAAGCCTGCTTAATTCATTAAGATGGTTTT